CCCGGCGGGAGGGCTTAGGTAAAGGCGCAGCGGAACCGCGCAGTGGTGTAAGTGGGGTGGGGTGGGGTGGGGTGGGGGACACCCCTGCAACAGCCTACGGCCCTGTGTTTTTTTCCCCATACGGCTCCCTCCAAGCCTACACATAGCCTCCTCACTTTGCACAGAGCCACGCGCACATTACAGGAGCCCCACCTCATTCCCAGGCCCCCCTCACACACTGAGCACCCCATCACCCATGGGCCCTGCCTCCCACCTCTCTTCCCAATCTCTCTCATCCTTCACGCCTTGGCTGCAAAGCTACTGTCTCCGCGAAGCCTTTCTCCGAACTCACTGACGCCACCCCCTTGTCCAGGCCGAGTGCTGGGCGCAGAGAGACCACAGATGTGAAAAACACCCTACCTTGGAAGATATCACAGTCTCAAGTGCGACTACAGAGCTCTATCTGTGGGACCTGGGAAACACCTGTCTCCACTTTCTCATAAACAGCTCATGTCTGAACTCAGTCAATCTGCTTCTGTCCTTGCCACGTCACTTAAAAGACTTTTTGTGTCGAAGTTCAAAGGACAATTTTCAATTCTGATTTCTCTGCAACATCTGACACTCTGCCTCTCGTTTTTAAGCCTTCTACTTGGCTTCAGCATTTTATGAGATATATTGCTTAAGTCTTTTTCAGTCTTCTTCTGGGGTCCCCTTTTGCTTTTGCCCCTTAAATAAGTGTTCAACATGGTTTCAAACCCAGCTCTCTTCTCATTCCACTCTCCACTTTCCTCTTGAAGGTCTCAGCCATTCTCATAGTGCAACTATCCTTCCAAATCTCTATTTCCAGCCAAGTGTCAGACTCATATTTCCAAGTGTCTGCTGGACAGCTCCACCTGGATATCCTACCAGCACTTCAAATTCAAAGAATTCAAAACCAAACTCTACCCTTTAACCCATAAAAGTGCTTGTCCTATGCCTCAGGCTGTCTCTGCGACTTGCCCCTTCATCCCAGAAATGAAGTTTCTCTTCATTGCCTCCCATTCAGCTGTTCATAAGTCCTGACATGTTTATCTCTTGAATTATACTTACTCCCACATGATCCGCCTGCCATTCTCATGGCTCCTCGTGGTAGTGCAGACCCTTATTAAACTTTTCCAAAAGTATCACACTACTTTCTTGCTAGTCTCAGTTTCTGAGAAGATTCCTCCCATTTGGCCTGCTGCAGCTGATAGGTAGTAAGAGACGCAGCTCA